GGGTATTTCAGAAAGTTCATATTATCTTTTAATTCCATTTTTCCATGAACTTGTTGAAGTTCCCTTGTATATTCCTGAGTTAGCAGAGAGGCCCTGTTAGACTACATGGAACTTGGTATGAGCAAGAAATAAACTTTAATTAGCATAGCATAGAAAGTCTTTCATTTTCTAATTCCTATCTGTCCCTCTTGTCACCTCTCCCAGGATGACGGAGACACAAAGCTTATTTCTCCAGAGTAGTGAGAGGCCCAGAAGGGGTTAATCCCAGGATCAGTTCTTTCAAGAGAGAATAATTCCTAGGGATAATCCTCAGTCAGGGTTTCTGCCAGTTTTTATTTTCCAGGCAAAAAAGTTACAGAAAAGATGGTTACAGAAAGAACAATGAGGTAATCATCAAGGCAACACTTAGTTCCCCAAGAAACTCAAAGAAACAGCCGGAGGTGAGATGCGGAACATCCCCCAGCCATCAAGCTTGAAGCCTTTAGCTCACATACTTTCCCCTCATTAGGTTTAGCTGCACCAAGGATGACTGCTTTTAGAGCAAGCATTTTTGCTGTGTTACAATTTTTTATCTATAACAGAGCCTTTAGTTTTCTGTTTTTCCCATGCTTAGCATTTCTATATGCAATTTTTAAAAGTCAGGTGATTCCTTAAAATAAAGGGCTTTGGCCTTGCTAAAACTACAGGGCTGTAGGCCCACTAAGCTATAAGTTAGGCCATGTAAAATACATTTGCTTATTAATGTTCGTATCCTCCACACTCTCCCACATTGTTTCTGACAATATCCGTTCCTCTAACAGTATATTCACATTCTTTCAGATTGAACATACCATGCTATCTCAGACCTATGTGTCTTTGTGCATGCTCTTTCTTCTACTTGAATTTACTCTTCTCCTCTGCCTATCAGATACAGACACACACGTGTCTTTCAAATTGCAGTTGAGCCATCACTTTCCTACGAAAGCCTTCCCTGATTTGCTCTATTTTCTGTGCACATTTAGAATTTTTCAGTGCACAGAGTGACTTATTTACCTTTGTCTCTGTCTTTAATAGTAAATTCCAAGCTCATTATGTAGTCATTTCTTATAACCTGGTATATAGTAGGCGTAAATAAATGTTTGTTAAATGAATATCCTACTTTTGAACATAGAGCAATTTATACCTCTATTGGTTAAAACCTTCCTGAAGGCTTCTGATCAAGATGGCAGAATAGACAGTCCCCAGCATCACTCTCTCCCACAAATCAACCAATTTACAAATATTAAAAAGTAATAACAGCCAAGCTGGGGCCACTAGAGCTCAGGGGAAGAGGAGGAGAGACCTATGGAGTGCATGACGGTGGGAGAAGCCATGATGAGAGAGAGAAAAAACTGCTCCAACCGTTTCGAGACCCAGCCATTTCAAGGCTGGAGGTGGTGAGCACACAGAAAAGGAGCTGGCAAAAGCCACAGCTGTGCCCTTTGGATGGAGTTGCTTGGAGACTGCAGGGAAGAAGAGGGCCTTGGTGGCCCCTAGGCCAGCAAGACTACTAATAGGTTCCTGTGGACCCACATAGGACCAAGGAGCCACAACAACTGAAAAAAGGAGCATTCAGAGGCCAGTGAGTCATCACAAGGGACTGGTGCATGGCCCATCCCATAGGAAATGTTTAGAGCATGGGTGGTGGGGGAGATGGGCCCACCAGGAGAACACTCGGGTTCAGCAAGGACAGCTGATCTGCCCCCCAATCAGCGTAGACCACTCAGTGGAGACTGGTCAGGCATATAGAACTGCAGGGGTTGCAGTTTGATGAAAAGATTCAGGCCCAGAGGAAAGTTTCTATGCAACCCAGGTGTACCAGATCTCACAAGTCCTGGAAGCACCTATAAAGTCAACCATTAAAACCTGAGCTGCACAAAAAGCCTTCCCCAGGGAATTAGAGCAAAGTAACAATTTAGCTTAACCACAGGGCTCTAGTGCTGGTCCCCGCAGGAAGTTCCTCCATTTTAGAAGTAAGCAAAAGACAACAAATTAGTTCCAGTGCAGAGTTTAAGTGGTAGGAACAACAAATAATCCAACATTGAACTGAATGAAAACACAAAATACCCACAGACCAAAGTTTGATATTCACTAGTAAAGGTCTCTCATCACCAAAGAACACCTATAAATTCTAGAAGGACTGGAAGTCCCCTGGGCTACCAAGCCAGGGAGGGGGGAGGGCTGGGGGCCTCAGCCATGCCCCCTGATACCCACAACCAGTCCCAAGGGTGGGGGGCCAAGGGCCTCAGCCACGCCACCCTGACACCCACAACCAGCCAGCAACAACCACTGAGCCACTGCAGGAAGTACACTGGGCTCCTGAGCTGGAGCAGTGGGAGGGCAAGGGCTTCAGCCACACCCCTCTGACATCTGCACCCAGCCCAGCAATGAACAAGCCACCGCTGGAAGCCCCCTGGTCTCCCATGCAGCAGTGAGGGGGGAGCCACAGGCCTCAACTCCACCCCTCCTTCCTCCTTTCACCCGATTTCCTTCCCCCTTCCTCTCTCCCCCCCCCCCCCAGCTACTCCACAACATTATAGAGTGTAAAAAAAAAAAAAAAAAAAGAAGTAATATTAATAAATAAATAAACTTAAAAAAATTTTTTAAAATAAAACCTTCCTGAAAATTAGTTGACAGTCAACTGAGGGTAAGATAGATGGTATGTTTTGAATGCAGCCCTTCCAAAATTCAGGTGTTGTCAATATGATAGTTTTAAAAGGTGGGGCTTTTAAGAGGTGATTAGGCCATGAGGGCTCCTCCTGTGTGAATGGGATTAGATGACTTTATAAACTCCTGCTGTTCCACCATGTGAGGACGCAGCAAGAAGGCACTCATCAGATGCCGGCGCTTTGATCTTGAACTTCCCAGCATCCAGAACAGGACTGTAAAGAAATAAATTTCTGTTGCTTATAAATTGCACAGTTTCAGATATTTTGTTGTAGCAGCACAAAACATACTAACACAATAGAGGACCTTTTATACAGATTTAGGAGGGCAAAGAGAAGGAATTCTGCTACTTCAGTTTTATTGTGATCCAGTTAAGGCTCTTATAGTAATTGTCATATACTGTATTCCTTTGTCTTATACCGGAATGTGATAATTATTCTATTTTGCTATATGAAGTTGCTTGATATTCATGAAAACATCTCACAATTGGTAATTCCTGGAACTCTGTTTCTTTGCTAATTTGTTTTGCCTTTCAATGTAAAGTAGAGCATATGTTCAAAAAAATGAAAATATGTAGGTACAAATTTTAAAAAAAAGCTCTCATGTACCCACCACCTAGGTAAAAATAGAACTTTACCATATTTGAGAAGCCCCTTATGCTCCCCTCCCTGACTGCATTCCCTTCTCTTTTCAGAAGTAATCACTGTCCTGAATTTTAAGTGGATAATTTCTTTATTTTCACCACATCTGTCTTTATTCATAAATAAAATATTTTAAAACCTTATAGTAAATGGAATCGTGCTGCATGTACTCATCTGTAACATGCTGCTTTTTTGTGAGATTGTTTCTGGTATTCGTATCTGTTGATGTGTATCACTATACTTCATTTCTTTTCACAGCTGTATAATATTCTGATGAATAAATATATTTTAATTTACTTATCCATTTATGGAAATCTGGATTGTTTCCAAATTTTTGCTATTTTAAATAATGTTGCTATAACATTCTAATGCATGTTCTATGCAAGAATTTATCTACAGTATATACATAGTACTAGAATTGCTGGTGCATAAGGTCTACACATGTTCAACTTTGTAAGATAATGCCAAACAGTTTTCCCAAGTAGTTGTATCTATTTTTTCTTTCATCATCAGTGGAGGGACATTCCTCATTGCTCTACATCCTTGCTGACAGTTTGCATTATCCTACTGCTATAGATTGGGTGCCTCCCCAACGTCATTGAAGCTTAAATCCCCACTGAAACTGATGAGGGTGGAAAATCCTATTATGGTAATTGAAAGGTGGGACCCTGAAGAGGTGATCAGATTGTAGGACCGTGCTGTAGTGTATGGATTAGTAATGGTGGTAAGTGGCATGGTTCTGAGGGCTTTAAAAGAAGAGCACATGAGAGGTTAGTCTCTCTCTCTGGTCTGCCATATTCTGCCATTTGAGACCCCTGTGTCATTGTTGCTACCACCAAGACCCTCACCAGATGTGTTCCCTGAACTTTGGACTTCCCAGTCTCAGAAACTGTAAGCAATATATTTCATTTTCTTATAAATCACCCAGTTACAGGTATTTTGTTATAAGCGACAGAAACGGACTAATACAATGAGTTAAAAATTTTTGCCAATCTGGTGGTGTGAAATGGTGTCCCACAATGATTTTGAATATCCATTTCCTTGATTACAAATGAGGTTGAACATTTTTTCATGTTAGGGGCTTATGCCTTTTTCTTCTGTGGAATTCTTATTTATTTCTATTTCCATTTTCCAACTGGTTGTCTATATTTTCCTTTTTTTAATCCATGGGAGGTCTTTTTATATTCTAGGTACCAATAATTTGTCAACTAAATGTATTGCAAGTATCTTCTTAGTAACTAATTGGATGTGTAGGTGTGGCAGAAGTAGTAGTATAGAATTACTCCCAGGTTTATTGTTTGGGGAACTGAGTGGATGATGGTGAATTAAACTAGGACATAGAATAGAGGAGAAACAGATCTGGGAGAGGGTGGATTAATCTAAGATATTTTGGAGTTTGAAGTTCCTATGGAATATTCAGGTGGAGATGACTCAAAAGAAGTTTGGCTGTATAGATATGAAGCTGAGGGCAAGCTCTGTTATGCCACATTATTAGTCTTTTAGGAATCTTATATGATGGACCTTTCGGGAGACTATAGTTGGAAGGAATCTGGGAATTCTCCAACTGGTTGGTCCTGTACCCCATCCCAATTACTTCTCTGGGCCATGGATTCTGCAGTCTCACCTTCGTATGAAATAAGTGTTCCAATCAAATGACCCACAAGATACTTCATCTTAGTTATAATTACTTTATTACTTTTATGGTCTCTGAACAGTTAGATAATCTTCCTTAATATTTGCAGGAGAGCACATCATTTTTATTTTGAAAACCATCCAGCACATTTGTCTTACATACATGCAGAGCATATATCTAGATTTAAAAATTTCTCCAATCACTCCTTGATATGTACTACTTAATTATACAAGTTATTCCATATGCACTGAAAACATTGTAAGAAATATATACATCTAAGAATTCTATTACTTTGTACAGTCTTTCATTAAATAATAATATTTACATATACATTTCAAGCTTTCTGTATTTGGAATTATATGTGTATAACCACTGAAGGAATATGGGCCCCTTGGGAGGATGGCAGTAGAAGCCCATGAAGTTACAGATTGTTCTTTAAAAAGCAAAATTGTATTATCACTTTGATTGTGTACCTTTTAGTTATTTGAGATAATGAGAACTCTGATAAATCCAGAAGCAGAAAGTTAAACCTTTAGAAGACAGGAAAGGTGAGGAAAGTATCAATAGCAGGTCAAGGAGTTAGCACATTCAGTAAGAATGTAGCACCTCAAGATAGCTTATATTATGGTACCAGGGCAGAGTTACTACTGAGCAGCTTAGGATGATGAACCATCTACCTTCCTGCAGGAGTAGGAGCAGCTAATTTGATGACTGTGGTTGGCTACCTTTTAGGAGAACTGCAAACCAGGGACAATTAGGGTTTAATGTATACCCTATGTAGGGAAGTGATGGGAGAGGCAGCCTCTCTGTGGTCCATCCTTATCAGCACTGCAGTGACTTGACTTCTCTCTGGTTTCAAAGAGATCTGTTAGACCTGTAAGAAGAGAAAGGGGGTATAAAAGTGTGATACTCAGACTCTGGCTTCAGTCTGGGTTCTGCTTGGAACATAACAGAATTCTTAGATAGCCCAAAGATTCTCAGGTAAAGGGTGTGGTGAGCTTTCCTGCTGCTACACAATCATTGTGAATTATAGGGGCTGCTTTGTTTAAGGCTAGGAAAGGTTTGGGGGATATTTGACAGCTTTACTTGCATAGTTATAGCTCTGCCTCAGTTGAAGTAACCTACCAACACTTCTAGACAGGTAGTCAGGGTAACTTTAGCTACTTACCACGCAAGATGTCACCTCAGTATATAAATAAATGGAGGTAGAGGAGGGCATGGTGGTAACATACTTTTAAGCCAAGGATCCCACAGCAAAGCCCAATGCAAATATTTTTAACTTCCCAACATTGTAATTTCCTAAAGAACAGTTCTTCTGCAAGCAACTGCAAACCTACCTTTGCTTGCTAACTGCTTTCAGTAAATTCTTGATGGCCTTAGATTCTGGGTTCAGACATCTCTTTTCTCCGTTCTTTTTCATTGTGGCACTACAGAAGTAAATAAGAGTGAAAATATTTAAAACAATGTTCGACCAGTAAAGCACATTGACAACACAGTTCCAAAGTCAGGCATTTAAGTTCCTCTCCAGATGTTTTCCTTTGCTGCACATTGGTTTTAGGATAATCACAAACCCTTTACTGATCTTTTGTGATTATCATCACTTATTTAATTTATGATTACAATCAGAAAGGTGATCATAACATGGGATTTTACTCACATGATCTCAACACGTGGACAAGATTGACTCGCAGAAATAATTTCAAGTTTTTCTAAGGACCTTAAATTAACAGGTTGATTAATAATGTTGATACAGGTACAGCGTATAGTTCTAGAGAGAGGCACTCCTGCAGGAAAAGAAACAGGTACACCAGGTTTAGAACAGTGTTTCATTTTAGGGATTTAATGTGGACTAGGTAATATTTAGTCTAACCTATATCCTCATATCATCACATAGTCACTTAATCTGAGAAGGAATGTATCCCATTATAACACAGCTCTGAATGATTAACTAGTTGATGAGCTGGAAGAAGGGAATTGCAACTTGTTAATTATAAAATCATACTCTTGACCACAGTTCAGGTAAATTAATTAAGATTAGTTAGGTAAGGAGGTATCTGTCTTATCCTTTCTCTCCTCATTCCCTCACATTTTCTCTCTCTCTCCTTCCTCTTCCCTATCTCTTCTGTACTCCTTCCTCCTTCTCTGTTTCTTTTATTCTACTTGTTTCTCTGACTTCTACCATTCGTATAAACTCTGTGACCAGAGGGAATCTCTGCTCTTTTCTCTCTCATTTATAGGCACGTGGTGAAGCTTTTGCAAATACTGTATTTGCAAGTTCTGCATTTTCAGAATTTATACCCAGTCCTATTTCTGATTTTCCAAATTAAATATCCCTGATGTTCCTTACCTTTAGTGCCATTCAGAGTCAGAAGGATAATGCAGAAAATAAGAACGGGACTTTGGTTCATGGTGCTGAGATTGGAGATTCCTCTGCAGTAGGCTCAGAATGTTTCTAAGCAGTTGAGGAGTGTCTCAGAAAACGTGGAGCTAGTATGCAGTATTTATCTGCAAAGGCACTTTCCCTCCCTAACTCTGATTGGATAATATTACAGTTGGCTGAGCAAAACCTGCTGGCTATTCCTTGGGGAAGTACCCTGTTGCAAAATCGAAGGTATTTGTGTTTATTGTGGTCTCCAGATTATGGAATTTCCCTTTGCTCTTTTTTTTTCTATAAGAGTGAGTTAGGTTTCACTTTCCAAAACATGAACTGTTTCTTGAAAAACAGAACTTTATTGCATATAGAAATATTTTTTTAAATGGAACTTTAATTTTCATCTTTCAACTCCTGCAAAATAAAAAATCAACTTAATTTTTAAATCAAAGTCCTAAGTACAGTTTTTAAGTGAGTATGCCTTAATATTATGTTTCTTAATTTGCAGCAGTAAAGCATGAATAGAAGTATTTTAAATTATTTACTTTATCTGTTGCAGAGGTATCTACTCTCTCATTTGATCCCCACAATAACCCTATGAAGAAAGTAGGAAAGTTATTTTCATTTCGTAGGTGGAAGGAGAATATTAGAGGTTAGATGATTGTGTTAGGTTACACAAAGGTTGCCATCCATTTGTTCTAACTATGATGCTTTTCCTCAGCATTTGTTTTAAACTTTTGTACTTACTTTCAGAAACTATTTTTTTTAAATATCCTCAGTAATAGCAATTTTTCATAATTTGTGGGTGAATGTAATTTTTGGCAAAAACAAATTGTATCTGATGATTAGGACAAATGATTTAGCTGGGCAGTGCCCTTTGATCAAATACTATAAAGTAATAGGGTTGGTCTTCTTAAACAAGGTCAAAGATGTGGAACTGGCAAGTTTCAAAGAATTCCACAATGCCCTGATCATTCATAACATCATTAGAATAAGTGAATAGCTGCTAACATAACTATTTTGAGGAAAAACACTACTCGTTTGGATATCTGATTTCTGGTCTGTTAAAACAAGTTTCATGTCTCATGGTCAGTTCCTGAATGAAAACATAATAAGATGACATCTAGAATGTTGTGAGAAAGGATTCATAGCTAGAATAGGGTTACTACAAAAAACAAAGGATGCTTTTTGAAGAAATAAATTTTTAAAAGGGGGTATGAGTAGAGATGGACCTTGGGAGAACAGCTTGAGATAGGAGGGAAACAGAGTTTGGCTTAAGAGGGGGTTCAGGTCCAAGAGACTGGCAAATGCAAAGCAAAGGAAAAAGTGTCAGCCTTTTAGCTGGTAACAATTTTAGATGAATGACAAATAGGGGCAAAACTTGGCTTTTAAGCATTCGACAGTACTTGTGTTGGCTGATTATTCACAGTAGATAGCAGCAGTCAAAAGCATGTGATAACCATATAGTAGAACACATGTTGGATCTGACAGTAGAAATTCAGCCGTATCCAAGGGAGATAGTGGTCCTTGCTTTTGTTCTTTGCAAGTAATTGGCAATAGGGGCTCAAAGGTGAAATACTATTCCAAATGCAGGCATCATCCTCTGCAATGAGAGATCTGAGGCAGGTGATATTTGGAACCTAAGAAAATACATGGGAAATTTTTTCATAGTCAGCTAGGCTGTGACAGTGTAGGAATAGGTCAGAGAGTGGCAGGGCTTCCATCTTAGGATCAGGCTAGTGTACCTGGCAACTGTGAGCCCAAAACTTGGCATCAAAGGCCAAGAATAAAGCCCATTTCCTTAACTAGGCACACATGGTACTTAGAACCTCAAATGCAGAAACTGAGTCATCAGAACAGGGAGTGAGTTGTTGCTTGGACAGACGGAAATTGCTGGAGTGCTGAATTCCAGGTAAGTCTCTTCTAGGGACTGGAACTAACCTAAGCTCTCTTTTTTCTTTTCTCTTTTTTTAACCCTTTTCTTTTTTATATCATTCTAAGCTAAGATTTCAAGTGGGTATGTCTGGACTTAGCTGTGGGAAACTGGAAAGACAAAAGGAAGGGAAATGAGGCAAGAATTAACAGAAACCAAAAAAACTTTCACCTAGCAAAAAGGCTTTGCTTCTGATGAGGGAAAGGCTTATGAGAGACGGTGAGGTGGTGACATGGAGGGGACCTCCCAAAGCTGTTTATGCAGAAAAGAATTGGATGTGAGTAAGGATGCCACAGACTTTCAGAGAAACATTTGACGTCATGAATGGAAGAGGCTTTGAACAGTTCAATATTAAACAATCAAAAAGATATGTGGTGGTAGATTTACTTTTGTTAGTTTCTAAGTTCTCGGCTAAGATGCTGTCTGTATAGCAAAGTAAAAAGGAGAGCTGAGGCAGATAGTGGACTAAAAATCTGTTATGAAGGGACTTCCATTATGCATATGTTGGTACACTTGATGATGTCCCATACATCTCCGAGGCTCTATTCATTTTTCTTTATTCTTTTTTCTTTCTGTTCCTCAGAATGGATAATTTCAATGAACTTATATTCAGGTTTGCTGATTGTTTTCTTCTGCCAGTTCAAATCTGCTGTTTAATCCTTCTAGTGAATTTTTCAATTTGATTATTGTACTTGTCAAAGCCAGAGATTCTTTCTTCTAAATTCCCAATTATTATTGATATTCTCTATTTGATGAGATTTTCTTCTCATACTTTCTTTAATTCTCTAGATATGGTCTTCTTTGGTCCTTTGAGTATATTTATACAATTTATTTATTATTATTATTATAATTTTGTCCGCTGGCCTGTCTGGGGATCCAAACCCTTGACCCTGGTGTTACAACACCTCACTCTAACCAACTGAGCTGATGGACCAGCCTGTATTTATAATAGCTGATTTAAAGTCTTTGTCTAGTTAATGCAATGAGGAAGTGCCTGGCCTTCCTCAGGGTCAATTTATAATAATTGCTTTTTTCTGGAAATCAGGTTCCTCCTCTCCTCAGAGTTTGCTGCTATTGCAGTTTGTTGCCGTTGCTGTTTATTTAATGATCTTCCTGAATAAATTGTGTAATATCTCTATTGTGTATAGCCATTGAAGTCTCTGTTCAGTTAGCTTGGTGGTCAGCTAATATTGGACTAAGATTTCCTTTGAAAAGCCTTGAACCAATAATCCTCCTAGCCTTTATTGGGGGACTCTGTGTGTGTGTTGGGGTATGTATTTAATGCTGTCAGGTATTTTACAACTCTTAGCCTTCACTTCCTGTTTGCACAGAACCTCAAGATCAGCTTGAGGTGAGAGATTAGGCATTCTTAGGTCTTGGCTTTTCTAGGTGTGCACACAGCCCTCCCTGCATATATGAAGGTACTTCAAAAAGGTCATGGAAAGATTCATATTATTTTTTAATTCTATTTTTCCATGACCTTTTTGAAGTACTCTTGTATGAGTGCCCTCCTAAATTCCTAGGAATATCTTAGAGTTTTTCAAAGCCCCCTATGGAAATCTCATTCTCTAGTTTTTTCTTTTAGATTTTTAAGAAATCAATATCTTTTCACACCCAACTGATATGGCCCCCTCAGGTAGTTAACAATCGCTGCTGATTGTTTTTACCAAACATCCTAGGGGTAGGGCTGTTTACACCAAGTAAGCCCTTGGTCAAATAAAGACAAGGCTTGAGAATAAATCTTGTAAGGGAGATTCTAAACAAGTCAAATAGTGATAGTCATCTGAGGATGGGGCATTTGAGGAGCTCCAAACCCTTTCTGCTCCTTCATTGGCTTGGAGGCTGCTTTTCAGAGCCACATAGTTATTAGGCTGTTAGTTTTCAAGGCTACTGCAGAGCTGAGGAGAAGGGGATGAGAATAGGCTAAAATTTGAATGCCACAAGTTTTCTATTCTTACCGAAATTCAGCCATGTTTCTTAGATATTCTCTGGATTGCTACAAACCTTCAGCTAATTTCCAGAGTTCTGAAAAAGTTGGTTTTGGCAAATTTTTTTTTTTTGTGCTCTTCTCAAAAGCTTTTACAAATGAGCAGATTTTCAGAGGTCCTTCCTCTACCATGCCAGAAGTGTTTTTCTTAAGAGTTATTTTTATGGTTTTTTTTTAAGTAAAATTTGCATATATTGAAATATTCAGCTCATAAGTGTACCATTAGATGAGTTTCACAAATACATACACTTGTATAACCCAAACTCCTATCAAGTTATAGAACATTACCACCACTGCAGAAAGTCCTTCATGCCTCTTGCCAGTCAATCCTCCCCCCACCTCTTCTACCCCTGACTCAGTCACTCTTCCAATTTTTTCACCATAGGTGGATTTCGCCTGTTGTAGAACTTCACGTAAATTGAACCATTTCAATATGTGCTCTTTTGTGCAAGACAGCTCTTGCTCAGTATGTTTTCTAGATTCATGTCTGTAGTTGTATAAATCAGTAATTTGTTCCTCTTTATTGCTGAGTAGTATCCCATTGTACAAATATACTAGCTTGTTTCTTATTGATGGATATCTGGACTGTTTTCAGATTTTAGTTGTTACATATAAATCTGCTATGAAGACTTTTGTATTAATATTTTTTTCTGGGCATATGCTTTCATTTCTCTTGGGTACATATGTAGCACTGAAACAGAGTGATATTTTAAAAACATAAATGGTCATGTCTCTCCTCTGCTTAAGACCCTCCAACAACTTCCACTTCCACTTAGAATAAAACTTATGTTTTTCATTAACTTGTCTTAGTAAGTCCTTTATGATCTGGCTGCTACCTGTCTCTCCAACCTCGTCTCATATCATTCCCTCTCAACCAGTCACACTGGCCTTTACACTAGCAGTTTTCTCTATCTGGAATGCTTTTCCCCCTGTTCTTTGCATAGTTGATTCTTCTGAACATTTGGATTTTAGCTAGATTGAACCTTATCACATAGTGAGAAGCAGACATGACTCTATTTTAAATCTCTGCATGGCATTTCTCACTATCTGATATTTGGTTAGACTTTTTTTATTTGTTTAATGTCTGTTTCTCTGCACTAGAATGTAAGCCCCAGGA